CAGTGCTTCCCTTGAAAGTCATTCTAGAAAATGGCACAAAGGATTCTGGGATAGCACCTGAAGAGGTACTGTTGTGAATGGCAGCAACTGGAGGTCTTGGGACCCAAAGACTAAGCACCCCTGTTTCATGGGGAGGGGCTCTTCCTTTCAGAGATGGCCACTACTGCTGCTGTGTGGGCTACCATCACTACGGCTGTGTGACATGAGGATTGTCTGGGTGCTACTGCTTTCACAGTGTTTCAGACTGAGGCAATGGGATGCTGAAAGTACCATAGGCTTAGGGTGGTGTGCAAAGTACAGACATTGCATGCCCAGCTACCACAGGTTTAAATAGTGCTGTTGACAGTGAGTAGAGTGCAGTGCCTTATGCATCTCAATGTACCCTACACATCTCCCCATGTGCCCAAGCAGTGCCTCTCACACCTACACTGCTGTTTTTAGCAGCGTAGTATCTCATTGCCCCACAGTGCAAGGGTCAGGCAGTGGGAAAAGGCTCCGGCAGCTCTTTCCTGCCTGAGCCTTTCACTGTGGTATGTAGCTACGCACCACAGTGACAACTGCCTGCAGCCTGCCTTGCACTGCAGCCTGTAGCTATACTTACCCTACCCACTACCACAGACAGGTAATTAAATGTGGGCTTCCCATGAAGAAGCTGTTGAGCATTTAGTCCAGTTTCTGCAGCACTTGCAGCCGCGAGGCAGTGAGAGCCTGAGACTTGAATCCAGGTCACCTGCATAGCCATGCTGAGCACTAAGCTTTATGGCACCAACCAGGGGATGTTGTATGTTAGTTTAAACATAGTTTTGCTCTCTTACTCTGTCAGGACCGCTGTGAGAAAATCTGAGACACCAGTTGTAGCAAAGAGTTCAGGCTTTCATTCCCTGTAGCAGCTTCTGCAATTCTCTCTAGCAACTCTTCTGGATTAAAGTCACTTCAATTTCAGATCAGTATCCATGTAGGGTACATCTACACTACAGCATTATTTTGAAATATCTAATTTCAAAATATCTTATTTTGAAATAATGTGTCTACACACAAAATGCATTTCGAAATAGCGCATCCACACTGAGTGGATGCTGAATCGCATTTAAGGCCAGCTGAAACCGGTTCCAGCAGTGCATCAGGTCAGGAGTTACTTTGTGTGGCTGCTGCCTGAGGCTATCTGAGGCCTATGCTTAAAGGGGCCCCACTGGACAGCCGGTTCTCAGGTTTCTCTGCTTGCTTGCCTACCTCAAAGAGGGACAGCAAAGCATTTTTTTCTTTGCGTGCTCTGGTTGCCTTTACTCGGGACACCACGGCACTCTGCACCGTGGAGCCGGAGCTGGCCATGGGCACTCTGGTGCTTCTTTTGGATGTGTTGCTGCAAGCCTAATAGCACTTTCTGGAGGCTGCCTTACAGCATCTGCTGCAGCCCAAATCCCAGGCCGTCATCCAGACACTCCTGGGGTATGTGGAGGAGCAGCTGCAGCTCCTGGAAGCCAGATTGCCCCACCGCATCTGGCGTCTGGACACCAGCAGCAACTGGTGGGACCACATCATCCTGGAGCACTGGGGAGACCAACAATAGACCCAGAACTTTAGAATGAAGAAAGACACCTTCATGGAGGGGGAAGGTGAGAAGGAGTGGGAGGAGGAGTGGTAGCTGGGAAGACAGCAGGGGCTGGAGCGGCAGGAAGCAGCAATATCTGCACCAGGGTCTGCAGGTGGTCACAGATGGCACAGCTCCCGCTGGAGCTGCAGGTCTTTATGCACCCAGTAGTCCAGGGTGCGGTGCAGGCCTCGCAGTATCCCCAGGTGCTGCCGCTGGTACTCCTCCTGGTTACGGGTCAGCCTGCTGAGTGCCCGGGTGCGGGAGGATGTCCTGGGCAGAGTGGTGTACTCTGCACTCGCAGCTGGTGCAGCTATGGAGAAACAAGAGAGGTGGTCAGTTATCCTTGGGGAAACAGTGGGTGAAGCCCAGCCCCCCTCTGCACGGCAAGGATGACAGGTCTCTGTAGCATCAGAGCTGATGTGCTAGCACAGAGGCCATGTTCGGGATGTCCTGCTATCCTGGGAGTGGGAACTGACCCAGGAGTGCACCCATGTCCTGTGCTGTATGAGGTGTGGGTCTATGGGGGAGGGGTGGGAGGAAGTTGTCCCATGCCTCTGTGTAGAAGGGGCTTGTGGAGGGAGGGCATCCTGTTGTGTCCCACGCCAGGGTCAGGAGCACGTCATGTGCCTTCATATATACACGAGTGTGGGTAACAGGCCACGGCTCCTGTGTAGCAGCCAGCTGGGGCCACGTGCCCAGGGATGGCACGGCACATGCACAGATTGCTGTGTGAGGCGTGGTCAGCAAGGCCCACATGAGCAGTCTCTGGTCTCCCTCCCCTCCCACCCCCGCATAAGGGAACAGTGATGGCACTCACATGTTGTTGCCTCCCCGACCTTGGACGACACCAGCAACAGGACTGCTGGGACAGCTCAGGGGCCCTGGCTTTGCGGCATGCTCCCTCCGGGCTCCTGTGGCTCCTGGACCTCCTCTTCCTTCTTCTCCATGCCCTTGTCAGGGCCCTCTGCCCCAGGGTTGATGACCACCTGGGGGGCATAGACCGTCCCGCCCCCCAGGATGCAGTCCAGGGCATCCAAATAGGGGCATCTCTCTGGGTTTGCCTCTGGTTGGGAGCTTCCCCCTGTGGCCCTGGCATATGCCTGCTGCAGCTCCTTGATTTTTATCTGCACCTGCTCCTGGGTTCGGATGTGGCCTTTGGTGGCCAGACTGGCAGCCATCCTGCCATAGACAGCTGCGTTCCTCCACGCAGTGGGGAGATCATGGATGTTGGCAGCACCCCCCAAACCTCAATCAGGTCCATGAACTCTGCATCGGACCAGGAAGGTGCCCACCTTCTTTGGCCCCTGGCAAGCTCCGGGAGCTGGGGGACTGGGCTCCTGGGAAAAGGTGGAGGGCTGGCTGCCAGTGGCTTGCTGGCTCATGTGGCCTGGGTCGGAGCAGCAGCAGAGTGGCTCTGGGCTGGCAGACCTGGTGTTAGCCCCAAAAGACTGAAGCTAGACTCTAGCCCTTTAAGGGCTCCGGGATGGGGAGGGAGGAGAGGAGTTTTCCTATTTGTGCCCAGAGTGGCCACCAGGGCACCTGGGAAGAGCTGGAGGCCCCCTATTTCGAAATAAGCATCTACACAGTGCTTATTTCGAAATAGCAATTTCAAAATAGGCGCTATTCCTCATGGAATGAGGTTTACCAATTTCAAAATAAGCCCTCTGCTATTTAGAATTAATTTTGAAATAGCGGTTGGCTTGTGTAGACGCTAGGAAAGTTATTTCGAAATAACTACTGTTATTTCAAAATAACTTTGCTGTGTCGACATATCCATAAGGAGTTATTCGGAATAGCTATGCTGGTCAGTTTCCCCACAGACAAACTTACAGAAACATGAGTTATAAATGAAATATTCTCTCTTGCTCTTCCATCATGTTACAAAAGTCTATTCTTATCGCTCCTCTTGTCATGTCACACAGGCTACGTCTAGACTGGCATGATTTTCCGGAAATGCTTTTAACGGAAAAGTTTTCCGTTAAAAGCATTTTCGGAAAAGCACATCTAGATTGGCAGGACGCTTTTCCGCAAAAGCACTTTTTGCGGAAAAGCGTCCGTGGCCAATCTAGACGCGCTTTTCCGCAAAAAAGCCCCGATTGCCATTTTTGCAATCAGGGCTTTTTTGTGGAAAACAAATCTCTGCTGTCTACACTGGCCCTTTTGCGCAAAAGTTTTGTGGAAAAAGACTTTTTCCCGAACAGGAGCAGCATAGTATTTCCTCAAAAGCACTGACAATCTTACATGACTCGTCAGTGCTTTTGTGGAAATTCAAGCGGCCAGTGTAGACAGCTGGCAAGTTTTTCCGCAAAAGCAGATGACAAAAAGCAGTCTAGACACAGCCACATAGTATTTCTTTGAACAAACATGAACTAAAGCAGTGGTGGCCAGTGGGACAAGCACACACATCCCAGGTGCCTCCCAGAGTCATAGCCTCAATTCTCTGTCCATGGTTCTGGCTGATTCCAGAGCCAGCTGGTCACCACAGAGATTTCCTTTCCTCATCCTCTGCTTGGGAAGATGCATTCAGCTCCACCTCTGGGCTTCCCAGACCCTGCCAGGAGATTCACAGAGCTGCAGAGCCTGGCCAGGGCTATAGTGTGAGGGTGTCACAGGAAGGAGGTGTCTGTGTGTGTTATGAGCCCTCTGATACTTGAAGGGCTTGAGCATAAGTTGAACAAAAGATGGATAAGGCCCACGCTGTCTGGCTTATGTTACTTGGCACAAAGCCCCACAGAACTTTGCACTGTACCAGCACAAAGACTATGTCTACACTACAGAGGTTTTTTTGGAAAAAACATCAGTTTTTCTGAAAATACTTCACTTACATCCACACTGCAATCACATTATTTCAAAAAAAAAAATCAAAAGAACAGAGGGTTTTTCCGACATTGGTAAACCTCTTTCTATGAGGAAGAAGCCTTTTCCCAAAAGAGCTCTTTCGGAAAAAGGCATGTGTGGAGGGGAAGAGGGAGCTCTTTCAAAAGAAAAGGAAAGAGGAAAAATCACAGGTGCCCTAGTGGCCACTCCATCCATAGTAATCACAGCTTACATGCGAGATAGAGTCCATTCAGTGTGGATGCTATCTTTCGAAAAAGCAGATGGCTTTTTTGATGTGCTTTTGCTGCGTGGACACTCTCTTTCGGAAGAAGTTTTTTCAAAAGATCTCTTCCAGAAAAGCTTCTTCCAAAAGAAGCCTGCAGTCTAGATGTAGCCTAAGAGCCAACCACACTCCCATTGCAGCCAGTAGCAAAACTCCCACCAATGTCAATCGTGCAGGTGTGGGCCCTAATGAAACACATCACCTTCCATTTAAATGTTCACTCTGTGTTCTTCCTTTTTACCCATCCCACTCCCCCAGTCACTCTCCCTAGGCTCCTTCCCCACACCCACTCAATACTCCCTACCCCCTTAAAACATGGGTGCGAGTTCTCCCGTGCCTGGTGCTGCAGCAATCATGCAGTTGGTAAGCTGACTCTGAACAGTCACTTTTCCTCATGTGCCATCTCTCTTCTAGCCTCTCCAGCTACAGTCTTCATAGATCAGGGACAATACCTTTCACTCAAGTATTCTCCACTGGTTTGGGGCATTATGGGGACTTTCTGGCTTCAACTGCCATGTAAAGGGGGAAATATGAAAAGCAAAAGGCAAAGGAGGCTGACTTAGCTTCAGGAAAAAGCCTCATTCTGATTTAAGACATTTCCATGTAACACATTTAGCACCTACATGAAGGTATTTAGTCACTTTCAGAAGCATCCAGCTAGCACCAGTCCTATTCTGCCTGCTGTCATGGTCTCTCCTCGATGGCGCAGTTATTCTGAATAGTCTTTGTGGTCACCAGGACAGTGGCTCCCAGTTCAGTTGCCGGTAGCGGGAAGCCATGGTCACATTCTTCATTGCCGGTGGATAGAGCAGCGAGCTTAATGACATCACTTCCTGCCCCAGCTTGGAAGACTGGCTTCTTCTTTGAGAAATCCCCTCTTCCTGCTGGCCCAGCATGCTTCAGGGCGCCATTCAGGTGTGGGCAGGTTTCCAGTACATGATCATTTTCTTCTGGCAGCTTCAGTCTCTTACAGGCTTGGCTTTCACAGGAAGTGACGTTGCACAGATTTTCTAGAGCAGAACAAGAGCTGGGTTAATAATGCACAAGCCATAAGGCAGGGTGGGCTATATAGCTCAGGGCTGAGCTACCTCCATGGCACCATCCTGCAGGACTATGTGCAAGAGGGAGGCAGGGTGCTACAGTGAAGAAGTGGGTAAAGGGCCAGTGGATGTCACCAATGGGCATTCCCTCTATTGTTAGCAGGCAGCCCCAACAACTGTTCAGCTGTCAGATTCCTTGCCCACCCTCAAGACAAGCACCCCAGCTGCCAAACTATTCTTGTGTGCCCCATGACAAGTGGGAGATGTGTGCCAAAGGGTTCTGCTTTTTCTCCCTGGACTGCCTCCCAGAGAACCTGCTTGCATTAGCCACATTACACTGCCTGCACCCCTCTCAGCTTGCAGAAGAACATCTCACATTCATGCTTGAAAGTGATGATTGCTGGAGAGGCAGCACTTGAGGTAACTTACTCCCAAATTCTGTGGGGATAAGACCTGAGCTAGCCTGAATTGATGCAGGCTCTATCAGCTGGAGCTGTGTGAGCAATGGAATAATTGACTGCAATGCAGCTCCCCTACAGCAGAGAAAGCCCCAGCCCAAGCTACTAGCTCTGCTTCTTCTGGGGCGTCACTGTGGGGCAAAGGGAACACATTGGAGGGGAGAAGACACCGTGGCGCACTAGGTGGGACAGAGATTGCTGTCCCTAGGTAGCTAGCTGAGGATCTGCGGAGAAGATAGTGTGCATTTTGGGGCAGGGAAACGAATGGGGTAAAGTGGGTAGGGACATGGAGGACATTTCTGGGGAAGGGAAGTTGGCTGAGCTCACAAAGCCTTACACACAGTAGAATTTCTGAGTTTGTTTATCTATAACACCAGGGCTATGTCTACACTGGCACGATCTTGTGCCAGAGCTATGCAAATGAGGCTAAGCGTGGAATATCGCTGAGCCTCATTTGCATATATAATAAGCCGCCATTTTGCGGAAGAGGCTCTTGTGCAAGAAGGAACTGTCTACACTGCCTCTTCTTGCTCAAGAAAAACCTTCTTGCGCAATGCCGTTATTCCTGAAAATAATCAGCGTAACGGCATTGTGCAAGAGGGTTTTTCTTGCGCAAGGGGCAGTGTAGACAGCTCCTTCTTGAGCAAGAGCCTCTTCCGCAAAAATGGCGGCTCATTATATATGCAAATGAGGTTTAGCGATATTCCGTGCTTAGCCTCATTTGCATAGCTCTGGCGCAAGATAGCCCCAGTGTAGACATAGCCCAGGGGTTCTTAACCAGTGAGGTGCGCCTCCCCAGGGGAGGTGTGAAGAGGATACAGGGGAGGTATGAGGTGCCTCACAGAAAATGTATCACAATTGCCTTCTCACTGGATAAAATTCTAAAGTTTAGATTTCTTCATAATTAATATTATGAATTAAAATTATAAATGTTAATTTCTTATTAAAAATTTTTCCATTAAAAGCATTTGCGGAAAAGAGCATCTAGATTGGCACGGACGCTTTTGCATCCGTGCCAATCTAGATGTGGTTTTGCGCAAGAAAGCCCCGATCGCCATTTTCTCCATCGGGGCTTTTTTGCACAAAACAGTTTTTAGCTGTCTACACTGGCCCTCTTGCACAAATACATTTGCACAAGAGGGCTTTTTCCCGAATGGGAGCAGCACAGTATTTGCGGAAGAACACTGACAATCTTACATTAGATCGTAGATTTTTTGCGGAAAAACTTGCCAGTCTAGACACAGCCTTCCTCAGCTGCCCAACAACATTTAACATCTTGACACCCTGAATACAGTTGAGAAATAATTGCTCTCACTGTGGGGTGGCTAGTCAGCGGGGACAGCCAGAGGGAGAGAGAGAAGGAGGCTTCCTTCAGCTCTTTCTTCTTCCTAATGTCCTGCCTCCTCAAAGCCTGCTCTGGCTGAGCGCAACAGGACACTGGCCAGTCCAATGTTCCCTTCCAGCAGATTGAGGAGGGAAAACAGGTGCTTTGTGGTGGAAGAGGAGAAGGAAGACACAACAGAGTCCCAGGCATGGGACCATGCTGTGGGGACTAGGCGAGAAACAGAGCCCCTGGCTTAGAGAGGAGAAAGAGTCATCCAGTTTTCTGGGGGGAGTAAAAAGGCATCATGGGGGGTTGTGCTTTTTTGGTAAACGTGGACACCTAGCCGACCAGAGCATGCTTACTTGGAGGACCATGGGGGGTGCTTTTGCACCCTTCATACACCCCCTGCCTATGGACCTGGTGTGGTGTTTAAGTCATCCCTGAAGCAGGAGAACAGAGGCAGAGTGCTGCTGAGTGGTCTTTGGCCATGCGGGGTGAAAGGGAGCTTAGAAGGCAACTGACCTTGTTTCAGTTCCATACAAGCCCAATTTTCTCCCCCCCCCCCTTAATTGAGGAAACTAACAAGATTTTCACTCGCCCTCACTGTGGAGCAACCCCCCCCCATTCCCCTTACATTCAATTCATGAAATGATACCAACGTGTTAATTTTAAAATGATCCTTTTTAGTCTGACATGTCTCTGGCCCCCTCATTTACACACTTAAACATAAGCACATATTGCTATTTTAAGTCTTTTGAAGCTTCCTTTCTAGATCTTATACTGAAGTTGTTGTGCGTGCAGCAGTCAGGCCTGGAGTCAGGGTTAAGGGAAATACTGATGTACAGAGTCTCATTTGTGAACTGGAAGACCACTCATGCCTTGTGCTTGCCACCTTATCTTGTCACTTGCAAACTCTTGCATGGCTAGATTTTTTGACCTAAGGCATTCTTAATATTTTAGGGCATGTCTACACTAGGAAATTATTTCAAAATTACTAAATTTGAAATAATAACTCCTGACATAACTATTTTGAAATAAGCTTATTCCCCGAGGAAAGCATGGATTTCAAAATAACCAGCCTACTATTTTGAAATAATGGGCCTGATAATGTGGATGCTCTGCTTATCATTTCGAAATAAGGGGGGTTATTTTAAAATAACTCCCTACTGTAGACCAGGGCTTAAGGATTGTTATTTATTGCTGCAAACATCACTCTAAATTAATTGTGTGTTCTGCCGGGCAGGTGAAAAGCCCTTGATGATCTCTCACCCTAGCTGTTTCTAATACAAAGGAGGACAATCATAGGGCCAGCATCAGTGTGCAGGGGTCTCAGGGATGGCTGAATTGTGACAATCTCTGGGAAATCTTGCACACAGAAACTTAGAAGCAGAAGGGTGAAGAGAACAGGAAAGTACATCACCCCCTCCCCGGAAGACTCTGACGTGCTCAGAGAGACATGAAATGATGCATGACAGTTTCTGAGAAGAGAGTGTGGGGTTGAGTCAGCGCAGAGGCACTAGCTCCCCTGGGGAAAGAGATGTGGCCATACCCAACCCAAAAGTGGTCCTGCCTTTAGATTTGGGTGCATGACCCTTGAAGATGGAGAGCAGGCCTGGCTTTCTGCTATGGAGCACAGCCCCTGTGTGGTTGGTAGGGAAGAGAGGGAAACCCAGCAGCTCTGCTATACTTGTGGTTAAGTCCAGCTTTCAGTTTAAAGCTCAACTCTCCAAGTGCTTTAACATCTACATGGTTACATGGAGTGCTTTGAAATCTGGCATGCCTCATGGGAGCACAAGGTTGTGTTAGTGATCCAAATTAACAGCCAGTTGAGCAAAGGGCTACCACAGTACAGCCCCAGAAACACAGTTTTTCTTAAAGTTGAGAGATTTTGGCAACTTAGACAGAGCCTACTGCCTCCCTCATGTGACTCAGGATGGGGAGAGCTTAAAACAGGCCTGCTTGGTGTATGTACCAACACACACACTGCTGAGAATAGGTGCCCTTGATACACCTCAGAAACTCCTAGCCAAGGATGGGGGGAGGCACAACTTGCTGCCACAGAGCAGTTCACGTGTCTCCGAGTTATTGTTTCAGGCTGTATTCATCCCTATTGAGTATTCTCTTTCATCTGAGAACATCTCAGTGAGATGAACGGACCACTTGACAACTCTCTGAGCCTGCAGCTTTGAAGTTTGAAACCTACCCTGGGCAGAGATCTGAGACTGAACTGTAAACACTTGCGGAAAAGCCGCCTCTCAAGTTTTGTTATGTTTTTGGAGCATTGCAATCTGAGTACAACCAAATATGAAGGAGATGATTATGAAGCTATATTTGAAAAGCAAATAAATTATAAATGCAGATCTTCCTTGGGAGGGGAGAGGTGGAGGAGGAGAGTAGGTGGCCACAGAGGCAGAGAGGTTTGGGTCTGCTGTGAGGGCTGCGAGTATGATGGGAAGAGGGATAAATGGGAAAGCGTGATGGGGGAGGGGAAAAGACAGGATCCATGGGGCGCAGTTAGTGGAGTAGTTAGGGAAATGATGCTCCCCTCTCAATGTGTGCTGGGATCTGAGGGAGCCCTGCCCCAGTCTCTGCCTGCTGTGGGTCCTGGGATCTAGGGCGCCTGATCTCAGTGGGGTGTCTGAGACCCTCTACTTGTCCCTAGACCTGAATGTGCAAGGTGGGGAGGCCAGGTTTGGAAAAGGGGGGAGGTACCCCTAGCCAGAGAAAAAGTTGGTGCCTGTAATGGGATAAGAAGGGTTGGGGGGGGAGAAGGAGGTGCACACCAGTCTTCTCTCCCATGCTTCGTTACTGTGACGAGCATGTAGTAAAACTGGGAAGGAGACTGAGGATGAGATTCCTCTCAACTATGCATTGCAAAGCCTGTCCCTGTTCCACAGTAACGCAACATGCAGGGGCAGGGGGGCACCGAGGAATTGCTTAGCAACCAGGTGGCCTAGTGCAGGGCTTCTGAAATCTGAGTTGCCAGAATGTTTCACATGGCAGCTCCTATAGCGTTTGTCCCACTGTGTTGGCTGGGCTCACGATCCTGCGCTGTAGGTATTGCAGTCTCTGGGGGCCCAGTCTCATTCAGGTTAGGCCCAGCTGTCATGATACCGGGGCCTAAATAAGCCACTGCACCTCCATGAGCCAGGTCACAACTCCACTCACACACATTTGGTTCAGACAGGAGGGCAGGACCAAGCCCTCTGGAGATTGCAGTGCCTATAGCAGAGAGCCAAGCCTAGCCATCCCCTCAGCACAGGAGCTGCCACTGTGGGGTGTGTGCTGGGCAGGACTCAGCCTCCCCAGTCTTCACGCCAGGGCAAAATCTGACTGAAACCACCCCAAGGCCTCCACTCACCAACTATTTACTGAGTTATAACATAAATGGTCCTGAGCCCAATTGGGTTGAGAACTGCTGGGCCAGTGGAAACATGGTTCTTAGATTGCTCCTAGCTCTGCTACTGGCCTGCTAGGTGACCATGGCAAATCAGTTTACCATCTGTAAAAGGAGGGTAATGATGTGACGCACAACGAGAGCCACTGAGGAAACACATGATGTAAAAGCTTGGTCTTGTCATTATTTCCTTGCCACAGTAGCATATCAACTACAAACCTAGGTGAGAACTACACCTGTCTAAATGGCCACTAATGCCTACCAACATACATTTCTTTATCTGTTTAAAAATCCAGGAAATTAAAAGGGGGAAAAAACTACTAGCCCAGAGTTAAGGTTGCTCAGTGATAGCTTGTGGCCTAATTTCCAGCATGTTCACTTCAGCAAAACTCAGACTTGAGAAATCCAGGAACTAGAATTGAGGTAAACAGTAAAAACCCAAGTAGTCCTGTGGCACCTTAGAGACTAACAAAATATATATAGTATCATGAGCTTTTGTGGGCAAAACCCACTTCATCAGATGAGTTGGAAGAAGCGCATTTTGCCCTCAAAAGCTCATGGCACTATATATGCTACATATATTTTTGTTAATCTCCAAGGTGCCACAGGACTACTCATTTTTAAAGTTACAGGCTAACGCAGCTACCCCTCTGAGACCAGTAAACCCCAGACAACCTTATCTTTGTCCTCTTTGGGTGATTCTAATGCCCCAATATAACCATAACACAAACATTTGCACTCTGTCTTTTTACTGTAGGGACTACCTTCACCTACCCCGTGCTCAAATACGGAGTCTACTTCCCTGACTGAATACCAAGCTTGAAAAATGTAATAATGACTCCATACCTTTCTATGACCCCTTCACACATGCACTCAGGAGACCACCAAATCTGTACATTCCTCCAGCCCTCATTAAATCCACCAACAGTTCTCACATCCCACCTTATTGTCAATGATACCCATGGCACGAAGACCCCAGTGTCCTGCTACTGACATGACTGATACAATTCTGAGCTGAAATGATGCTAACTGGGCCCTCAAAATACACATGTACACTTCTTTCTTTTAATCAGACACTGGGGGACTCAGATGCAGATCTCCACATATCACTGTCACAGGTCTTCCAAGCTGCTTCATCTTATTCCTCCACTTTTCAACATAGCTCCACCTAGTACAGTGAATGCAGCTGGAGTGATGCAGATAATTCCCAGGCACTATTGCTGGCTCCAAGGGAGCAGAATTGAGATGGTGGGGTATTTACCTTAACTCTACATTTTGTAATTTCCAGATGTTTGAATTTTGCTGAACTCCATGTTCTGGAATAGCATGAGTTCTCATCAGGCAACCATCTGCGCTAATTATTCTTTTTGCCATTTAATTATTATTTTAGAATTAAAAACACAATTTTGCAAGCATGAGCAATTAGGAGTATATTTCAAGCTTGTGACGAAATTCCCTGAAATTGAATAGAAAATGGTAACTTCTCTACAGATTTTATGAAACAACTTATAAAATTGAATAGAGTATTATATCTCTGCTACAAAATTCTATAAATCAGTTAAAAAGCTTATAGAAAAGATCTCATTGTCTGTTCATTGATGAAGGTATTAGCAAAATTCATGTAGAGCTTATTACTATACAACTTTTTCCCAAACAGTTGTGCTCTTTAATCTTCAAACGAATGTGGTTTGTGCATTGTACATGAAAACATAAGAACAGCCATATTGGGTCAGATCAAAGGTTCATCTAGTGGAGTATCCCATCTTCTAACAGTGACCAATGCCAGGTGACAAATAGGGAATTAACAGATAATCATCAAGTGATCCCTCTCCTGTCATCCATTTCCAGTCCTTAACAAACAGAGACTAGGGACACCATTCCTACCTATCCTGGCTAATAGCCAATGATGAATTTATCTGGCTCTTTTTTGAACCCTGTTAAAGTCCTGGCCTTCACAACAACCTCTGGCAGGGAGTTCCACAGGTTGACTCTGCATTGTGTGATGAAAAACTTCCTTTTGTTTGTTTTAAACCTGCTGCCTATTAATTTAATTTGGTGAACTCTGGTTCTTGTTTTATGGGAAGGAGTAAATAACTTTTTCTTATTTACTTTCTCTACATCAGTCATGATTTTATAGACCTCTATCATATTCCCCCTTAATCATCTCTTTTCCAAGATGAGAAGTTCCAGTTTTATTAATCTCTCCTCATATGACAGCCTTTCCATGCCTTTAATCAACGGTTTTGCCTTTTTCTGAACCTTTTCTAATTCCAATATATCTTTTTTTAGATGATGCAATCACATCTGTACATGGTATTCAAGATGTGAGCATACCATGTATTTATATACAGGCAATATGATATTGTTTTTCTTTTTATCTATCTCTTTCTTAATAATTCTTAACATTGTTTGCTTTTTGACTGTTGCTGCATACTGAGTGTATGTTTTTGGAGAACTATCCAGAATAATTCCAAGATTTCACTCTTGAGTGGTAACAGCTAATTTAGACCCCATCATTTTATAAGTGTACTTTGGATTATGTTTTACAATATGCTTTACTTTGCATTTATCAACACTGAATTTCATCTACCATTCTGTTGCACACTCACCCAGTTTTGTGAGATACTTTGGAAGCTCTTTGCAGTCTGCTATGGACTGTACTATCTTGGCAATTTTAGTTATCTGCAAATTTTGCCACCTCACTGATTACCCATTTCTCCAGATCATTTATTGTAGTTATTTGTACCAATCTCTGTGAGATTCTATCATCTGTGCATACAGATGGATGTGCTAAAAATAAGAGTATGCTTGTGGAGGGAGGTGTTTAGGTCCATAAAGCTTCCAGTACACATACTGATCTGATATATGGCCACTTGGAAAATTTCACTCTTAATTTCTTGTTTTCTTGACAGCTTCTGCAGAAGTTAGTGCATCTTCTGGAGAAGGACTTTCTCATCTCACTCAGAGCCCCAGGAGGGCTCATTGCCTTTCAAAGACTAAAGGAGGTCAGTGTTTAGTTTATGGAAAATAAAGTTAAGAGGTGATTTAATCACAGCCTAAAGATGGCATCTGATGCTAGTGGGCCTTTTCATCTAGCAAAGACATATCAAGAGCCAGTGGCTAGATATTGAAGTCAGCAGAGTCCAAATGGAAAACAAAGCACATTTTAAGTGACCGGTCATTGGACCAACTTATCAGGGGATGTGAGAAGTTCTCCATCCCAAATCAAGCCTGCATGTCTATCCAAAGATGAGCTCAGGTTCAGCTACACATGGTGGGGCTTTATGAAGGAATCACTGGGTGAAAGGCTGGAGGTCAGACTAGCTGATCCAATGATCCCTTCTACCCTTAAAGTCAATGAAACAAAGACACCTACCCTTGGGTTTTTCATCGGGTCTCCTCTTCTTCCTCTGCCGCCACCTCCTCACTCGACAGACCAGCAATACCCAAAGAGCAACCAGTACCAGGACTAGCCCCACTAAAGCAGGGATCCCAAAGAGCAAAATTGGGCTAAGGACAGGTGCTTGGGTTGAAGTGGGGGCTATGCTGGTGATGTGGTATGCTGTGGAGGGAATCAAAGCAAGACAGGCAATAGTCAGACCCAGGGGAGCCACTGAGCATACTTGAGGACAGCAATCCCATTCACTGAACCTTGGCCGGTCTCAACTTTGGGCTTGGGGCTGGAGAGTTTAGACACAGTGGATAATCCCAACATTTCTATCAAACGTGTGGTGGGGCAAAGTCCCATGACAATTGGAATTCACAACATCCGCCCATTCTGCCCCCCGCCCTTACAGGGAAACAATAGTCCAAGCCCATCCCTTCTCTCTCCTAAAGGATCCTTATCTCACCCGTAGTGTGGACGGGGCACTTTTCATAGTGCCTCTCCTCTCTGTCTCTGGGGTAGTTGAGAACTCTCGCTCTCCCTCGCTGTTGGTGTCATAGTCATCATTCTGTCTCTTCCTCCTGCCCTTCCCTGGCTGCCAGTGACTTTCTCCATTTTAATTTTCCCCACACCACTGGGGATGAAGCTCCCCTGCCTTCCTTAACCGGTTCCTGTCTTCTGATTCTCATTCCTGCAGCCCTGGGAACCTTCCCCTTCCAGGGGGCCCTATCCCCAGCCAGGGCCTGATTCCCCCCTCCAGAGAACACAGAAGCTGCAGCTCTTCTCTTACTTGTCTCCTCCTTGGATTTTCCAGCTAGTTCTGAGCAGCTCACACATGCCTTGGTCAAGATGTCGAAGCACAGGGATTGGGAGCAGGTAGCGTCTGAGCTTTTCTGCGCCATGTCTGAGTCAGAATAAAAATTTCTTTATCACGTGGAGAGTTAGACGAATGCCACCCAAATGTGAATTCACACAGCCCAGGGGCCTGTGTGAGAGGGAGATACACTCTGTTAAGCTGTGTCTGTCCCTCAGGGGCTTCTGCTCTCTGCACTTCCCCCTGGGCTGCCCTTTATCAGTAGGAGGAGGAGGGGAAATGTGCTGAAGGCGTCAGCCCACGCAATGCCCCCTGAGCCCATTCCCCTCCCCTAATCTGGCTACCTAACAGTGCCGTAGCCTATAGGAGCCACCACACCAAAGCTGAATAGTTGTCCTTCTAGTCCAAAGACCTACCTCCTGCCATACCAGAGCCAACCACTCATCCATCATCTAGTCTCTCCTCCAGGCAGAAGCATTGCTCGCTGAAAGAATCCAAGCAAGTGAAACCCACAACTAAAACTCTTTCTCGGTCACTGCCCATTGGTCCCATCCCTCTTGTCTTTTCACTTCCCTTTTCACTCAAGACATCTAATCTCTCTCACCACCACTTTGGTTTTGGTTTGAAGGCCTCAGCTGTACCCTGCTCTGCAGCTGTCTCAGTTTCTGCTAGTCACCCTTCTTTGTCTCACTTTGAAGGGACTCCCTTTCCAACCCAGGCTTGTTTTCTCCTCCTTACGGTGCCAGAAATCCCCATCTGGGATTGGAACTGTGGTTCCTGGGTTTATGACTCCACTTCTCAGTGCGAGTGTCAGTAAAGCTAGCACTGTCCATGTGGTGCTGTGGTTAACAAATGCCTTCCCCCTCCTTATCCTCCATGTGGTTCTGATCTTCAGAGCCTCGAGTGTGTCTGAACATGGTGCAATAATACTCAGCATCACGCGTGGTCTATTTGCTCTTTTTAACAAATTCTTTATTTTGTATCCTTTTTGCAGCTAATCATCTTATGCATTTCTACAGCACTTTTCTCCATGGTATCAGAGCACCTCCATGTCTATTATTTTGAACTGGCAGCTCCTCCTACTGTTCCTGTCTTGGTCTCCTTTCTACAGCTCTGCCAATGCCCCTGTATCCTAACCTGCAGCACCCTCTCCTCTTCCAGTTCCTGTCTTCTCTTGAGCAGCAATAACCACTCATGCCAAACTGGACTTGTGATGTAAGCAACTACTGGCTAGTATGAGACTGAGACCCTCAAAACTCATGTCACTTGTGACCTATGCCATAGAGGAACCCATGTCTGATCCAAAGCCCACTGAAATGAATGGAAAGATTCCTGCTAGCTTTGGGTTCATGCAGTTAACACACTAATTTTGTTATCTCATCAACAGCTCTTCCCTTCTGCTACCAAAGCAACTGCAGGATGGATGCAGCAAGAGCTGATATTCCAGTTGTTATTTGTGGAAACCTAGGCCCTGGAGATGAAAGAAACCAGTGATGTCCCATCTTGTGTACTGACCCCAACCCTCCCTCTCTTCTTCCCTTCAGCATATTCTTCATTGTTTTGTCCAGTCCTATTTAAAATTACCCCAAGGATGGGATTTCACCACTCCTGTAATTGAACAGATCTTAAATATTTCATCGCATCCACTCTAGATTTCCCTTTGATCAGTTTCATCTACTTATTCCCAGCCTTATCCCTAACACCACTCTAAATAAAGCTCCATAATTAATAGGGGAGAGAACGTCTCTTCTCCAGCTACAAACGTTGGTTTGGCTCAGTTGTTGGAAAGGAAATAGATGAAACACCTCTGCAGGAACCCAGGATATCTGCCTGTGATTCTTGCCTAATTCTTCCAGTCCTACAGCAGATTGTTGGTTGTGAGGATATTCTCATCTTTCCCTTCCTGTCACTTCTCACTGCCTCACATGTATTCCTGTTGGATTTTAGGACTGTCCTACAAATAAGAAAACTGGATACATGTGTCTTTCAACCAGCAGAAAGTGTTGTGGCAATGCTCTCTCCATGAGGCAGCTCTCACAGGGAGGGTGTATCACACACGGCAAGAGGACTTTTACAGAAGCCATATGGATGGTTTGAAAATAAATCAGATTGTGGAAGTGTTTACAGTGTTGAGATGTTAAAAAAATAGGTATTTTTCAACTCTTCCCCAAATATTGTCAATTTTGAGCATTCAAAAATCAAGAGCGGGAGCCCCCAAAATTGTGAGATCATCTTAAATATACATAAAGAGAGAGAGAGAGAGAGAGAGTTCTTTTTCTTTGCCTTCTGGTTTTTTGAATCTTCCAAGTTCATTAGGATCATGTTTTCAAGCTTTTAACCACAATCACAAGGGCTAGAAATGGACTTTTGTCTCTCAGGGTATGTCTAGACTACATGGCTCCGTCGACAGAGCCATGTAGATTAGGTTTCTAGACATAGGGAAATGAATCGGCGATTTAAATAATGCCGCTTCACTTCCCTATGTTTAGAAATAATGCCTTGTGGAATGAGGTTTACCGGGGCGGTCGACAAGGGTTTGCTGTGCCGCCAAACAGCTGATCGGCACAGCGCGGCGGCCATTTTGATGTAAATGAAGCGGCGATTATTTAAATCGCCGCTTCATTTCCCTATGTCTAGAAAGCTCATCTACATGGCTCCGTCGACGGAGGCATGTAGTCTAGACATACCCTCAGTGAAAACTGGGATTATTTTATAATCCCTTGAGTTCTGGAACTGTAGCTTTAGCAAAAATACCAAACACCCATGTGATTTACAACAAAATTGCCAGAGTGGATTCTATTAGATTTGTAAAAAATCCTATCCAAAGCTAAAGCCCCTGTCAAGTCCAGCTCCTATGGAACATTCTTTAGCATTGTAGCAGAGAGCCATGTGAAAAAGCCTCCCTTCCTCCTTCCCCCCCAGATGCTCTCCGCTCAGATGAGAAGCTTCACTACTGTATGTTAGAAGCCACAGGAATGAGTGCTGAGTGTGAAAAGTGTTCTTTTTATTTTTTTTGTAATTGTCCCAGAACAGTTGACTGGGACTAGGAAATGAAGACACATGACACCCTCATTACACATAGACACAAGATGTCCAGGCCTGAAACTTCAGCTGAGAGTTTGCCACAGCATTTCAAAGAGCCAGGGAGAGTTAGGCTTATGCATATTTCCCATTAATATGATGGCTGACAGATGATTAACCTCTGCTAAGCCCCTTTATTAAAGTCTCCGGGGCCAACAGCAGTAATCCAGCCCCTGTAAAATGCTGTTTGCAAAACACTGAATATGAAAAGCTTGCACTAAATAGGAGTTCTTTCTGGTACAGTCTCGTCTCTCTGTACGTATTCCAATCCTATTTACAGCTCTCTGCTGAGTGTGTTGGACGCAGGAATCATGACAATGTCTTGCCCAGTTCAATTCCACCCCTGCAAACATCCTTAGTCATCAGGTTCTTGTGGCACCCACTGGCTTGGGGTGGTATGCTGAGTCAGATCTGTAGGCTGTTTACACCCATATAATGATCCTCTACAATGCTCCTCAAAAAACCTTTCTCTGGAAATGTGCGTCACCAGGCAAATGGCTTCTCAGTTTCCTTGCTCACATTATTTTCATTTGCTATTGTCTTTTTCCAAGAGGGATATTCACTCTCTTTATCCCCCATTGCTTCTCTACTCCCCCCTGCCCCAGTTCTTTTTGTGTTCTCTCTACTTGTCATCTCAATGACCCTAGTCTCCTCTCCACCTCCCAGTCTCCCTATGGCCATTTTACCCTTCCCTCTTTCTCTATCTACTTTCTTCTCTCTTCTGCCTTTTTGCCCATGAACTAAGTATGTGGTCTTGGACAACTCACTCATGGCCAAATTTTCAAATGTGGGGGTCTAAATAAAGGCAGTTAAGTCTAACCAAGCAACAAAATGGAGATGCCAACCCTTAACCAATAAACATCAGAAGGCATGAAACTTGATGCATTAATGTCTGTAAAGTGCTCTGGCAGCTAGTGTACTGTGTCAAAAGCTGCTGTTGCCTGAATGCACATAAATGTTAATGATCAATAGCTCTGCCTTTTTCTGTCACTCTTCCTAAGTTCTTTCTCTCATCTTCTGAAGTTCTTTTCTCTCACTTTCAGTGCCTGATTTTTCTTACCACCCTGCCCTAAGCCTTATTGTCTTCATCTCTCCTGTGGGGAAAATAGCAAGCCCTAGGCTCACACTGAAATTGATTTGCTCATCAAAAAGCCCCATTGTCTTCCATGGAACTTTACTCACATGATTCACTCCCTATCTGTGTGAACTAGGGGTCCACAGTGCAGCCATGTATGTCAGGCCCTTTCCTCTTTGCCTCATACATCTGTCTCTTTGTCTCTTTACTCTCAACAAACCATTGATCCATTTGGATCAGCATAAGTTCAATGTGGCTCAGCATGTGGTTAATGGCTGGGAAGAGTTTGCATCTGAAAGTGCTACATGACAGGCTAATATCATAATAACTCACATTAATAATTAAGTAGCAGGCAGTTGACTCACTGGCTAAGGAAACAAAAGTTTCTCATCTTGTTTGCGAAGAGATGGGGGCCCCAGGAGCTTGGGAGTCTAGTTAGTCAAGTAGTTTTTATTAAAGAAATAAAATAGCAAACGTATAAAAACAGCAATTAATTGTGGCTTAGTTCTGGAGCTGGGAAAATTCCTCAAAAATGACTTCCATTAACATTCTCTTGAATACAGCAAGATTTGAATCTGCATCAGCTGAGTTTGTACAGCATTCTGCGTAATTCCCACAAATATCTTCATGAAAGACTCTACCAGTAAAGATTTGAATCTGCATCAGCTGAGTTTATACAGCATTCTGCGTGATTCCCACAAATATCATCATGAAAGACTCTACCAGAGGGAATAATAATGGAAACAGTGAATTAAGGACCTGATCCTGCAAACACACATACGAGTAATGTAGCTTACACAAACAATTTCAGTTATACCAATGGGTGGGTAAAGTGATTGGTCTGCATGTTTCCAGGTGTGGACCTCTATATTTCAGAGAATATCCATTAAAAGTTAATGCTGAGCTTGTCTATGTAACCATTTGCACAGGAAAAGTTGCACTGGTGTAACTAAATTGATTTAAATGTGACCTAAGCCAAGTGAGCCACGTTCCTAATGTAGATGCATTTAAGCTGGATTAAATTTCATTTAAAAC